GGGTCTGCAGTTTACTCTCGGCACAAAAAATCAACCTGTTGCAGTTGATACAATAGTGATGGCCAATCTTGTAAGTATTCTAAATACTTAATTGATAGTATGAAAATTATATGTTTTAGTAAAGTCCTCTATGTTTTCCTAATGGTAACATAAAACAATTTTTATCCTGCTATTGCTGAACTGCTCCCAAAAAACAAAATTGAAACCTTGGATAAATTAATTAAGTAAAACAGAAATGAAGGGAATCATGTTTTCAGAATGTGCCTTTACAGATTATTGCAAAACTTCCTTCTTTGGAATTAATTTATAGAATTCATTCATTCCACAGTTAAACACTTTCTTGGGTGATTCATGTATATTCTTTCTTGAAAATTGAAGCTGTTTTTAGTCATATAGTTATGATCATATTTTTCTCATCTTGAAAGGGATATTTTCAATTAAAAGCAAACCCAGGTGCTTGGATACTGAAATTACGCCAAGGAAAATCTGAAGATATTTATCAAATAGTTGGGTAAGTTATATAAACCACTGTTAAATTTTTATGTGTAAATAAGTTTTTAGTGTGATATAACCAAGATCATCAAAACAACTAAAATGTTCACAAGTTCCATCACTATAAAACAAAAGCTATAATACTTGTAAAACTGTGACAGTCGTTCCATGTTTTTAAATTTTTTGTTTTATTTCAAAAATATAAAAGATATGCCTAATGTATACATCTTATTCTTTATTCTATCTTCTTTGCTATTTTCTATGCACTTTTCCATACTTTAGTGTAATTATTATATTTATCATTTAGTGAGAATATAGTATGTGTTATATCTTATATAACAAAGCCATTATCCATGGGTTATGTTCAGTTTTTCCTTTTTTATAAATAAGAATTGGTTTCTTTCACAGTAACTTCTCTGCTCATCAATGAGCACTATATAAAACCGAGACCATCACCCTTTTAATGTAGGAGCCAAGAGAAAATACTTAATGTTTGAGGGCACATATGATCTTGTCAATATTCTTTTTTTCTTAACAATCATTTTAAAATGTAAAAACCATTGTTAGCTCAGGGGCCATAGAAAAATAGGTCACCAACCTGATTTCACTTTCCAGCCATCATTTACCGACCCCTTATAAAGTCTTTTTTACATTCCCTAATAAATATTTGCACTTTTCATTTTATTTCAATAAATATTTATTGAGTACCTATTATACCATGCACTGTGCTCAACAAAGATGATATAGGGGTAGGGGTTATTGCACTGTTTTTCACTGCTTTCCCCCCCTTTTCCTTGTACTGTGCATAGCACATAGTGTAATTCAATGAATATGCTTAATAATTTATGCACACAAAGCCTAGAATGCTTAATTCTGTATTAGGAAGGTTGGAGTAAGTCAGTGTTGACGTTAGGAATGAGATAGTACCTCAAGGGAGTTTTGAGGAATTATAGTAACTTACTACTAGTCATAGCACAGACAAAACATTCCAGGAACAGGAATGTGGTGCAAATCTCTCATCTAAAACTCTTAGGGCTGTATGTGTTTCAGAATTTAGAATTTTGCAGATTTTAGAAAGTTAATGCAGTATACCTATATATTATGATTTATCAAGCAGGATCTATAAAAGCACTTCATTAGAGAGCGGGAACAGATTCAATGGAATTGTAATAGATAAGCATGATATCGGGGGTGGGAGGGCAATAGATGGGGGTAGGGGGGTTGTTACCTGGTGAGGGTGANTCACCTTTTTCTGTTGCTTCAGACCCCTGGTTCACAAATGCTATTCTACAATGAACAATGTAGAGAATATGGAGATGGATGCATGGCAACTTAGGACAACACCACTATGTACCTGTTTTGTCCTGCAGGTTTTGCTTTTAACTCTGAAATGAACAGTTTATAAAACCCTTTTTTTCCCCACAGCTCAGAAAGAAGTCCTAATGAGATTAGTGTAAAAAACAGGAAAGAGAGTTTGCTCATATACCGCAAGCTGGGTTTATTGCTTCTCATCACCTCCAGTGTGACCCTTGTCCCATAAGTGACCTGACTTCTCATCCTGCCTGCTGTCATTCAGCCCTCCTTCAACACAAAAAAGGAGAGGAGACTCTTTTAAAGTACACTGAGTCTTCCAAACATTCCATTCAAAATGGGAAAGGGATTGAGAAACCACAAAAAGCAGAAGCGTTTTAGAGGAGTTGACCTAGAGAACAGGTATCCAGAAACTGGGAGGAAACACGCTCTTCTCTTTGCCATCCCTCTACCCTGGCTCTGCACGGCCTCTGAACTATCTCCAGGTCCATGTCTGACAGCTTCTTCAGAACATAGCCATTGCCTGACTGAGACATAAGCATCTTCCCTCCCATAACCTGTGACCGTTGTTCAGCATATTTATTTCTCATGCATCTCATTTTACCTTTGCCTAAAGGCTTCCCTTCTAGGCAACTTTCTCCTGATCCACTCATGAGTAGGAGTCAATTCCCTGGAACATACTCACCAATACCCCCAACT